AGACCGCTGAATGGAAGTGAAGACAACAGAGTCAACGTCCTTTAGGAAGTCTGCCAACAAGGACCATGTGCAAGGCTGGAACATTCCATTTTAGGAAACCCCATCTTAGTAAGGTGTAGAGCTTCCAAGAAAGCACTGGTCTTGCTTTCCACCTCTGATGCCAGCCTTCCCTCTAGCCCTCTGCATGAGTTCTTAGAGGCTACCAAACTGGACTTTGCGGGCAGGTGGTGACCATCAGACCCATCCCGTATCACGTCTTCCAGTTAAGTTGATACTAGTTTTTCAGGTTTTTTTTTAAAAAGAATTATTTAACTTTATTTATTTATTCCTTTATTTATGTTAATTTGACCAGAGAGGGAGAGAGTGAGAGAGAGAGAGAGAAAGTGAAAAAGTACATCACCAGGTCTGGGACTTGAATCATGGTCGACCATGTGCGAGTCAAAGCGCCCCCAACCACCACGCCACCTGACGGCCCCAAGCCGATGCTAGTTTTTAAAGAAATGGTATTTCTGCAAAGCCATTCCAGCAACCTTGGTCTTCCCTGGCCTATACTCCTGACACTGGTTAGCAAAAAGCCAACTACTCTAGTGCCCTATCTAAGAAAAAGAGTCGAAGTGTTCAGTGCCTGCCAGGACAAGGACTCTGAAGGGAAGGTGGCGAGAGGAAGGACCTGGGATGTGCAGGTTTCCAAAGCAATAGCCGGCAGTGCCAGCCACCACGTGAGCCCCGCGGCCTGTGCACTGGACATCTCGGATCCGGCCCCCTGTGCCCGTGGTCGCACCGCTGAAGGGGGCTACTCCTGTGAAGAGAGAGGAGGAGAGGTACAGTGCTGTGAAGACAAACCCATACCTCTGGCTGTCCCCACTGAAAAGACAACCAGCTTCCCTGATAGTTTTATGGAGCCTGGGACCTTTGCCCTACCCTCCTCTCTGATCTCACCTATCTCCTCCCAGGAACCCAGCTCACCTGTGGGGAAATTGTGAGTCTCTGCTGTGAAGACAACATGTCTCAGCCCATGCTGTTGCCGGAAGGAACTTGGCCGTGTGGGGTCCTCAGGCTGTAGGAATCGGACTTCCTTGCCCTGGATCGCACTGTGGAAACATCCGTTCTGGACTCTGCTTCCTTCCTGGTGTATGTGCCAACCCAACCGAGGACTGCGGCCTCCCAGCCCTCAGACCCAAGGCCATCCCACCTGCTGTTGTCACAGAACTTGAGTATATTGTTGGGATTTGAAGATGTCTGGGTGCTCATGATAGACTCGAACAGAGAGTGTGCCAGCTTTTGCCCATCCACGTGGAGCTTGCCCTTGAAGAACCAGTGTCGGCTGTGCTCGCTGTGGAGTGACAGGGGGACATGGGGAAGGAAAGGCAGGGTGGACGGGGTCAGTTCTCAGCGCCATGCCACCTCACCAGCACTGAACAGTGTTACGGTCAATTCATACTTAGACAGTATGAAATGTATTTCAAAAAGCCTGATTTTCAAGAATTCTGTCACTGTGGATTATCCAGAGCCAAAGTGAAGAAAAAAACCAAGATTTCAATGTGGACTTCTGGATGGATTAGAGGAGCCCAAGTGCTCGGTCTCAGGGACGCCCCTATGCCAAGGTAGAGCCATGAAGACGAGTCTCTGAGATTCTCCATCCAACCTCCATGAGCTCAGAGATCAGAACGACCCCACTCCTCCCCACCTATTGGACTGAGCCAAATCGAAGGCCTCCACGGTGCTGGGGTTCCGCTGCATTTCCTGGAAGCGCTTGGTGTAGAAATCCAGGTCCCAGGAGTCTAGGGCCAGACCTAGGAGACAAACCCTATTGCAGCTGACTGCAGCCCTCAGGCCACCATACTCCAGGTCTTGGCAACCATACTAGCTGATCCTGGGCCCTCCCCCTGACTCCCTGGGGACCCCTACTTACCTAGCTCTCGGTTGGCTTTTTCCAGAGCAGGCCGGCCCTCAGTCAATATGTTGATAGGACCATTGAGGGGTGCTGGGGTGCTCTCAGGGGAGAAAGTCTGGATGGGATAGCGGAAGTGCTGCTCCGTCATCCGGTCATGAAGGACAGCCAGAGCAATGGCCTCCACCTCAGCGGGAGGAGGGTGGGCAAACTAGAGGGAGACACACACAGAGCGCAAGGGTGCTGAGCTGAAGGATGGAGAGAGGGGGCACACCCTCAGCTCTCCATGTCAGGCAGGGCCAGTCCACTGTCACCCTACCTAGCAGTTGTTCAGTGACAAAAAAAGAGGCCTCTTGCAGGCATGAGTCCATGCCAGAATACACAGAGTAGTAATGGAAGACAGGCTGAATTTCGGTCATATTCACCCATCAACTAGGTACCAGCAGGTGGCAAACAACCTGCATGACCATACAGGGTGGGCTTAAAGCTAGGGGCTCCTCCCCCCACATCTCCTATTATTTCCCCAGAGTTTAGAATCTAGTCTCCTATTTCCGGGCCATCTTCTCCTCCAGAATCCCCACCATGATCACCCACTGCCTCACCGAGAGCTGGTAGCGCCGGGTAATCTCTACACGATCCACAGTGTCTAGTCCAGCGGCCTGGCACACTGACACGATGTTGGTGGAGGTTGGCGTGGAGAAGTTCAGCCTGCAGAGTGGGCCAGATGGTTAGGACCTGAGAGTCCCCACCAAACTTACACTGGGAAAGTAGAACCCACTGTCCAGTCAACATCCCTCCACTACCTCCTATTGGCCTCCAGTCTCAGACCAGGCCCTAAGAAACTTGCTTTCAGGGTGGACAGGTAGCGTGGTGGTTAAAGACACTGGATTCCCACATGGCTAACCACAGTTCAAGTCCCAGACATGGCATCTTGCTGTCTCTCTTTACCTTTCCCTTTCTCTCTCTCTCTCTTTCTCTTTATCTCTGTCTGGTCAAATTAAATATATACATACATACATACATGCAAACAAACAACAAATGGATTTAAATAAATAAATATTCTTTAAAAAAAATGAAAAGAAACCTGTTTTCAAACCAAAACTGTCCTTCTAGCATCAAAAACGCTTTATTTTTTAACTTCTCAGAACACAATTTGTGGGCTAGCCCTGCAGTGCAGCAGTTAAGTGCTGTACACTGGGAACTGGATGCCACATGGCCAACTGCAGTTGGAATCCTGGCCCAGGCAGCTTGAAAAACACACTGAGCATGTGTGCGTTGTGTGTCCAAAATCCTGATGTGATCGAGAAACTGGAGGAACAGGTTTGTGACATGACCACACTCCTTTGGGGGTGAGTCCTCTCTCTGGCAAACACAAACACTCTCTGGCCAATTAATTAATTAATTTAATTAATTAAACTATTGGAAGGTGGCATGATGGTTAAGGTGAACAGATCCCACATGGCCAACTGCATGGTTCAACTCCTGGACCCAGTGGTTTGGAAAACATGCTAAGTGTATGTGCCCAAAATCCCAAGAGAAGAATGGAGGACAGTGGGTTGTAGTATGACCATCCCCGCTAGGGTGATGATTTCTCGCTTTCTTTCTCTGGTGAGTGTACATACCCTACAGCAAAACAAAACAAAAAAACCTGTTTAAGAAAAATGCAATTTGTGAGTAAGGTGGTGGCAGAGTGGTAATTGGACCCATGTGGGGAAGGTCCCAGAGCCCCCCTGAGCACACTGGGTCATACCTATAACCCAGACTAGTGAAACCAGAGGTGATTCATGGCATGAAGATCCCATTAAGGGTGCCCCTCCTCCACTCATAAAAGAAAGGTAAATCAAATTTTAAAAATTATTATAGAATGCAATTTGTTTACTTCCACCACATGCCTGGTACCTGGCTAGGTCTTCAAAGGCATCTACCAAATGGGGAAAGCATGTGCATGGCTTCCAAGGCTGGCAGTAGGATGCAGCAAAGAAAAGCAGCTCTCCCAAGGATCACGAGAGGAAGTAGAGGAATGGAAGTGGGAGGGCAGTGTGTTAAAAAGGCATGATGGGGGGCCAGCAGGTGGAGTGGTGGTTAAGGTGGTGGTTGACTGTGGTTCGAGTTCCAGACTCAGTGGCTTGAAACTCACACCAGGCATGCATGCCCAAAATCCCCAAGACAAGAACAGAAGAGACGAGACTGTGGTGTAGCCATACCCCTGGGGGCTGATTTCTCACTCACTTTCCCTCTTACTGTTTCTCTCTGTCTCTCTCCTCTCTGGCAAGTGCATGTGCCCTATAGCAAAAACCTAAAAAAAAAAATAAATAAATAAAAAGACATGATGTACCTTGGAACATGGAATGAGTTGCTCCCTACTGAGACGCTTACCTGGGGCCAACCTCCAGCAGCAGGTCACTGGAGCCGGGAAGGAGCCAGGACTTCTGAGCAACATCATCCAGCAACAAAGGGCAGCCAAACAGCCACATCAGTTTCTTCATCTCCTCCGCATTTGGGAGGACCTGAGCTATGGGGAGAAAAGGCCACCAATACTTTGAGACACTGCCTCCGGCACTGGGCACCTCCTCCAAGCACTCAATACCTGGGCCCAACCTGTCCAGTTCACGTTGTAGCACAGTTCGGTCTCGATGCCCTGTAGCCCTGGCAGTTTCCCTTTAAGTTTTCTTTGAATGTGTCCAGAGGCTGCCCCCTCATGGCCAGAGGGACGGACATAGAAGTGAAGAACTGGGGCCATCTCTGCAAGTGTCCTTTACTGATGAATTAGATTCATTTAAAAAAAAAAAAAAAAAAAGAAAGAAAGAAAGATAAAAGAAAGCATTAACTATATTTAGCCTATCTGTTGACCTGATTGTAAGTTCCAAGGGCAATTGAGCCATTAGGAATGGGGCCAGGAAAATAAGAGCATACAGAGAAATAAAGTAACCTGAGAAATCTAATAACCTTGAGGATTTTATTCCTACAAAATGTCAGCTTTAGTCATGTGTGGTAGGGGGCACAGCTACATTCCTGACACGTTCCTAAAAAACCTATACTTGCTGGATCCAGGCAAGGTGTCAGGAACACCACTGTGAAGAAGACAGAAACCACTTTGGCCTTCATAGTAGGGCTTACTCCTTTTTGAAAAGTTTATTTAATTGGGGGACCAGCAGGTGGCATGGTGATTAAGGCACTGGACACTCCCACATGGTCGACCAGATTCTAGTCCCAGACCTGGTGGCTTGCTTTCTCATTCTCTCTCTCTCTCTCTCTCTCTCTCTGGTTAAAATAAATAAAATAAGTAATTCTTTTTAAAAAGTTTATTTATTTCTTCCATGAGAGAGACAGACACACACAGATGGGCACCCCAAACAATGTTCTCATGCTGCAACCTACTCCTGGACTCAATCAGCCAGGATCACAGGCACACATAAGCACAGGAGACCTCAGGATGTAAATATGGGACCTTCCCATATGGCCTCAGCATCGAGGAGAGTTGCACTACGGCTGTACCACGGCTGGCGAGAGCTTACATGTTATTGAAGGAGAAAGAAACGCACCCAGATATTTCTAGTCTGGAGTGGTTAAGCTCCAAGAGGATGTGGCTTCCAACCAAGTGTTTCAGAAGTTGAGAAAAACTTCCTGGGAGAGATGGTGTCTGCTGTAGGTTTAATGGTTTTAGTCTCCCAGCCTCTGCCACCATGCATATGTTGAAACCCTATCCCTGATGTGAAGAGGTAATTATATCATGAAGGCAGAGTTCTCAGAAATAGGATTAGTGTCCTTATTAAAAAGGTCACAGGCACAGGCAGGTTAGCTCAGCCCTTAGGGTCCCCTTGTTCATTACTGAAGCCAAATGGGGGGCCTGGGTTTGAATCTCAAGGCAACCTGAACATACCATGGGTATCATCCATGATCCTAACTGCCTGGGGCTTAGGAAAGGATCACTGCATTGGGACCAGCAGTTAGCGTAATGACTATGTCACTGGACTCCCACATAGTCGACCGTGGTTCGTGTCCTGGACCCGGTGGCTTAAAACTCATGCCAGGCGTGTGTGCGTGCATGCCCAAGATCTCGAGAGGAGAATAGAGGAGAAGGGACTGCAGCGTGGCCATCCCCCCTGGGGGGTGAGTTCTCACTTTATGTCTCTCTGTCTTTCTTTTTTTTGGAGAGGTATTTGCTATAGCGTGCGCTCACCAGACAGACAGAGAGAGACAGAGAGATAGAAAGTGAGAAATCCCCCCCCAGGGAGGATGGCCACGCCGCAATCCCTTCTCCTCCATTCTCCCCTTCTCCTCCATTCTCCTCTAGGGATCTTAGGCATGCATGGACACACGCCCGGCATGAGTTTTAAGCCACCGGGTCCAAGACTCAAACTGCGGTCAACTACGTGGGAGTCCGGTGACACAGCCATTACGCCAATTGCTGGTCCCATCTGTCTCTCTGGCTATCTGGTGAGCACACGTGCCCTATAGCGAAAACCCTCTCCAAAAAAAAAAGGAAAGGATCACAGCCTGGAGAAACTGTCAAAGGTGTTTGCTTGTCTCTTGCTTGTGAAAGAAATAAACTTCAAAAAGAGAGAGGGAGGGACCAGCAGATAGCATAATGGTTATGTCACTGGACTCCCACGAAGTTGACCATGGTTTGAGTCCAGGACTTAAAATTTAAAACTCATGCTGGGCGTGTGTGTGGCTTAAAATTCACATTGGGTGCACATGTGTATGTGTGTACCCAATATCTCGAAAGGAGAATCGAGAAGGGATTGCAGTGTGGCCTTACCCCTAGGGGGTGATTTCTCACCTTTTGTCTCACTGTCTCTGGTGAGCATATGCACCGTATAGCAAAAATCTCTCTTAAAAAAGGAAAAGAAAAAAGGGAACCAGCAGTTAGCGTAATGGCTATGTCGCTGGACTCCCACGTAGTCGACCGCGGTTTGCGTCCCGGACCCGGTGGCTTAAAACTCACGCCGGGCGCGTGTGCGTGCGTGCCCAAGATCCCGAGAGGAGAATGGAGGAGAAGGGATTGCGGCGTGACCATCCCCCCTGGGGGTGATTTCTCACTTTCTGTCTCTATGTCTCTGTCTGTCTGGCGAGCGCACGTGCCGTATAACGAAAACCTCTCCAAAAAAAGGAAAAGAAAAAGAGAGCGAACTAGCACCATGGCCTAGTGGTTAAGGGAGCCAGATCCCACGTGGCTGACTATGCAGTTAAACCCTGGCTGTCAACTTGAAAAATACTCCAAGTGCATGCCCCATTGAAGGGTGCTCTCTCCCCATCCTTCTCTGTCTCTGGTGAACACGTGCGTCCTCTGGTAAATTCAAAGAGAGAAGGACCAGGGACCAGCAGTTAGCGTAATGGCTATGTCGCTGGACTCCCACATACTCGACCGCGGCTCGAGTCTCAAACCCGGTGGCTTAAACTCACGCCAGGCGTGTGTGTGTGCGAGCCCAAGATCCTGAGAGGAGAATGGAGGAGAAGGGATTGCGGCGTGGCCATCCCTCCCGGGGGGGGATTTCTTGCTTTCTGTCTCTCTGTCTCTGTCTGGCGAGCGCATGCACCCTATAGCAAAAACCTCTTCAAAAAAAAAGAGAGAGAGGGAGAGAGAGAAGGACCACAGAGTTAATGCTGTCATATGAGAATACAAGAAGTTAGTAGTCTGCACAAGAGAATCTCCAGAAGAGAGTCCCTTACCAGAACTCACACTGGTGCCCTGCTCTGAGATTTCCAGTCCCCAGAACTATTAGAAATAAATTTCTGTTGTTCATAAGTCACCCAGTCTATGGTACTTTATTACAGCAGCCAAAACAGACTAGGATGGCACTGAACATTTACACTTGAACCAGAAGAATAAGCTGGACTGCGCCTTACTGGTGAAGTCAACAGTTCCATCAGTTTGATGTTTTCACAATATTATGTGTGTGTGTGTGGGGGGGGGAGGGTTGGCCAGCAGATGGCGTAATGGTTACATGGCTAGACTCCTGGTAGTCAGGGACACTTCCTTCCTCAGTGCAGCTGAGGGCTTCTGATCTGCACCATTCCTTCAGATGTGAACATATGCATGGAGCTCAAAAATGTAAACTACCTCTTCCCAGGAAGTGGGAGAGAAGGAAGCTCATTGCTTCATATCTCCACTTAGACAACTCACAAGAATCTCAAACTTAACTTAGTCCAAAGTGTCTTCTGGGCCAGCTCTGCGGTGCAATAACATGATGCTCAAGAGAGGCTGGATCCCCACATGACAATCATGGTTCAAATCTCCAGCCTGGTTAGCGTGAAGCATACTGGGCACACATACAAGTGCCCAAGAACTGACTATCTGACAGGCTGTATGAATGGAATTGCAGCATAACCAGATCCTGTGTAGAGTGCTTCTCTCTCTCTCTCTCTGTCTCTTTCTCTCTCTCTCATGCATGTGCATGCCCTCCATCACAAATAAAGGAAAAAAAAAAAGATCTTAAGTGATTTAACTACTTCTTTAGACAAAGAAGGATTGTAATGTTGCCAGTATGGAGGTTCCTTAACTGTTTTTATTTTACTCATCCTTTCAGCAAGATTTGACTTATTCATTCCCAGACCAACCCATATTAGTAGTTAAAGGAAGCCGATTCCACATGACCAACCACGGGTTCAAATACTGGCCCAGACAGGTTGAAAAACACACCAGGCACATGCATGTGTACATGTGTGACCAAAATCCAGACAAGGTAAGAAGTGGGGAAGGGATTTGTGCTGTGATCATGCTCTATCAGAGGGTGCTTTCTCCCTCTCTTGTCTGTCTCTCTCTGGAGCACACTGTTCACTAGCGATTAAAAAGAAAAAAGGGAGAGGAACCAACAAATGGTGTAATGGTTATGTCTCTGGACTCCCACATAGCTGACTGTGGTTTGAGTCCTGGACCAGGTGGCTTAAAACTGGCACTGGACAGGTGTGCATGCTTGACCAAAATCCAGAGAATGGAGGAGAATGAATTGTCACATAGCCATTCCCCCTAGGGGATGATTCTCACTTTCTGTCTCTCCGGTGAATGCATGTACTCTATATAGCAAAATTCTTTCTTAAAAAAAAAAACCACCTTATTTATTCCCTATTGCTGCTGTTTTTTGTTTGTTTGTTTGTTTTTTTAAATTTTTGCTCGAGGGTGCCTGCACTCTGAGGGTATATGGGGTTGGGTGGTGAGAGAAAGTCAGAAAGCACCTCCCAATGGGACATAGTCAAGGCAGAATTCCTTCTCCTCCATTTCTCCCTCTAGGGATTTTGGGCACACACAAGCATCTGGCATGTTTCTCAAATCACCAGGTCTGGGACTCAAACCATGCTATAGACCATGTGGGATCCAGCAGCCTTTACCATCATGCCACCAGCTAGCCCATTCCCTTCTTCTTGAAACATCTTCCTGTCTTGGCTTCAACCCCACACTTCCTGATATTCTTCCTGATATTCTTCCTACCTTCTGGTTCCTTCTTTTCATTCACCTGTGCTGGTTCCTAGTCTTCTACCTGACCTCTAAATGTAGGTGCCTAGGGCTTTGTTCCTTCTTTGTTCTCAACAGCTCTGTTTATGTGGTCTCATCCAACCCCGTGGCTTGAAATATAACCCAGTGGATTGTACCAATGACATTGCCAGCCAGCGTTCAATCAATTTTGGCCAAAAAGTGTCATTTCATATGCTTTAAGCTAGTTTTTGCCTCTGGATTCTGTAACTTTATTCAGAGTTGACTCTCCCTGAAATTCCAGGCAAATACGTATATTCAAGTGCTTATTTGACATCTCCACATGGATGCTCATAA